AGTCATATCTGAAAGATACAAGACAGGATAAATGAGAGCTTTAAAAAGGTCTAAAATGCCAAGAAATTATGTCTACTGAAAGCTATTTTTTTTCTTTTAATTATGCACTATGCTTTTTGTTATTTTAAAATAATTGCCTACTAAATTGGAAATGTGGTTTTAAAAACACAAAATATATTAATATTATATGCCCATTCTTCATGTATGCTCCCTGGTTTTAAGTTAGTTCTCAATCATTTTAATTAAATTACCTTTCATTTTTTTACTGGCCAGGACAATAAAGAAAAAGGCTAAGCATCCAATCTAGGTGCAATAAAACTATGTCCTTTTAAAGGAATCTATTATAGTTATTTAAAAACATGAAAAGAATGTTCCTGACCTTAGTAATTTTCTCACATACCCCGTATACAATTTCAAATCAATAACTTCTAGCTGATTCTTAAATTACTTGAACAATGAAATAAAAATATTCTTGCTATATTATTTATAGTATAAAATAATAATTAAATCATTAGTGTCATGGAAGCATAAGAGGGGAAATGTGTATTTGCATATAAATCTTTTGATTGCTAGATTATTTCTGAATTAGGTAAAAAAGTGATCACACATCATTAGTCAAAATAGATAATGTATTTTTATAACTGACTGAAATCATAGAGATAATATAGTTTAATTTCATCATATTTTCCAATAAAATTATTAACTAGAAGCTTTATAATGGCTCAAAATTATAAAGCCCCAGAATTTAAGCATTAAATTGATATCTAGTCTAGCTTTCTGATTTTCCAGAATTTGACATCTCGAACTCATGAGTACATGAGTGGAGCTTGCATTAAAAATGTGATGTTTCTCTTAAAGTCTGGTAAATTTAGTCATTGAGCCTCTATGATTTAGACATAAGCAGAAATATATATAATATATGAGAATCTATTAGCATTCAGTAAACATGTGTAATAATATTTAGTTTGATGATGCTGCTGAAAGATTTGTTATTAGGTAGGAAGCTTGTTTTATATATACATACATTTTAAAAAATTAACACTAATGTTCTGGGATTCTTTTCTTTTCCTACCCTAATCATTAAATCACACAGAGTTGTACCACAAAGTGTTGTAGGAAGGTCATATTTGAATCTAAAGTTGTATAGAGAAGCGAGATTAAATTCATATAAGAATCATAAGATAACATTTGGACAATATTACCTTACAATTACCTTAATATATTCCAGATTTAAATAATAATAGCCAAGATCAGAGTCTATGAGAAAAGCAAGGGAAGATATTCCTGTATATATAAATCACAAATTCTCTGTTGGCTCAGAGTAATTTTTTTCTTTAATAAATCATAATCATGGTTTACACTGTTTAGAACAAACATAAGTAAATGAAGAAAGAGTAGCTTCCACTTTTATATTCGTTTAGGTTCCTTTTTGACTCCAAAGTAACTCAGTTAAACATTTGTAAGCAATAGTAGAGAACAGTAAGACTTGTCTGAAAATGAGGCCCTCACGTTTTGCATTTAGTATCAAAGACCAAAGGACAATCCCTTGGTCTTTTTATTCCTGATTTCTTCATCATTAAAGTATGAGAAAAACACTTATGGTAACCTATTTTACAAGATTCCTGTAAGACTCAAATGAGATAATCGGTGGGAAACGTTCTTGGCAAAATTTAAAGGCTGCATTCATTTGCATTATCATCATTTCTTTTTAGATGGAATTTTTATTAGACACCTTGAAAAAGTGTGGTCCCAACGCTTCGCTGTAAGGATATGTCTGGCAATTTTAAAGGACCATATGAAATTGTACAATTCAAGTGATGTTTAAGAAATTCCTAGGTAAAGTTTGAACAAACTAGAAATGAACTTTTAGCTATATAGTATGTTTGAGCTTTGTTATTACATTATGGCTCTTGGAGAAGAGGGATACCAAAAATCTTCATAATTTTGGCCTAATATATTTTTAGTAAATGTTCTTGAAATAGCCAGGTACTTGGAGTAGGATCATTTTCTTACTGTAAATAGCAATAATCACTACATATGAGGGGGAAAATAAATGAATTACAAAAGAGGTTTTTATTTAAATTAACCAATTTGTCCCAATGAAATTACATCATTTGGAAGTTTTAGATAAAGTTTATTTTTTAGACTAAAGTTTACTTTTGATGAATTCATTTTCTGCTAAAAAATATGCATGATGCATTTTATAGCAGAACAGTCACGATTCAATATTTTATCAGTTATAAACCAAAGTTTTTAAAGATACAAAAATTTGATTTTGTAAGTCCTAAAACTAGACAATTTTTCTCTTATATTAGTAGCATTTTTGTTGGTTTTAATGTTTGGTAATTTCTAAATATGTATTAAGATTTTACAGTTATAGTGACCTGAGTTGTGATTCTGGGTTTCCTTTGTATAAGCTGTGTGACATTGGTAAATTTCTTTAAATTTACTTAAATCTCAGAGCCTTAACTTAATTAGTAAATAATTAAAAATTATAATAATGCCTGCTTAATAGGATTGGTGTAAGGGTTTCGTGGATAATAGCTACAGCTAAAGTATATGCCAAACACCTGGCCCACAACAAGCATTTAATAGATAGTATCTATTATTATCGCATGACTACTGTCTTCCCTCACTCTCCTCACAAAATAGTCTTATTTTCCTTTGTTACTCAGGTGTGTACTTCCTTATAACATCAATTGGTGGTCCAACATAAGTTAAAAAGTCTACTTAAGAGTCATTCATACTCTCTGTTGAAACTGTTTAGAGTTTTGAAAAACTCTTGGATTTTATGACAATAAAAAGAGTGATTATTTAGAAGTGTCATCAGTGCAATGTTATGCAATCAGAGTTTCCAGGTTGAAACTATCTACAGTAGCACAAAGTTAGTTTCATGTGCACCTGTCTTCGTTGATAACAGTAATTGCTGGCTAGCAGGGTTCAGGAAAATAAGCACTGTCTTAGAAAGGTTTAAAAAGAGGTCACTAAGTTAAGTTCTTTAGAATGGGGCTTAGATCAATATAAGACAGAGTGCTTTAATTTCATGACCAATGCCACATCAGAACCATGGAATCCATCCCGTTGTTACTTACAATTACTGAGTTAAACACTAATCAGACCCCTCTCAGAAGAAATTAGCAGCTATATTTTTTTGTTTACAATTTATACTCAGGGTGCACCCATTTTGATTTAAGCAGCCTCTTTTTGCTAGAACACTCTAATGTTAGTCTATAATTGGGTAATGGGTTTCCTGCTTAACAGCGGCAAAAGTTGTTCTGCTCCTGAAGTAGATTGACTGGGCTTCTTCACCTTCAGGTATCATCCTCCACCAGCTGAGGGAGCAAGAGACTTCTGCATGGGAGGCTGCAGCCCCACCTCCTCCTGGGGTTTGTCAAGGGGCATCTCTGTTCAGCTCAAGTAGGAGTATCTGTTCTATTTACAGCAACTCAGTTACCCTGAAGTTCTATTTTTGTAAGAAGTTTCATCAAAGAGCTTGTATTTTAATGAGATGCTTTTTAAAAAATTGCTTGGGAATGCATAAGGCATACGGATTCTCTGTTATATATGTTTGATGCATTCCCTTATTGAAATTTGGGGGTTTTCTAAGATTATACATGTACACACACACACACACACACACACTACAATGCAGATATATAGCTTCTCTCTCTCTCTCTCCCCCTTTTTCTCTTTCTCTCACACGCACATATCAAGGGAATGCCATATGTCCCAAGTGAGACCTACTTGGAAAAACAGAAGTGCTGAACATATCACAGTACCATTGTGAGAGGACAGTCTTCAGTTTTCTCTGTGGCAATGAGAATTTTCTCACCCTCAAGACATGCAAATGACTTTTTTCATCTGTTCTTTTTATGTTATTTGCATAATTTTCTCCTGCAAAAGTGAGAGCTGTCAAAAATTAACCATTTGGGGCTCTGGCATTCAGTTATATGACCTTTTCCAGAGAATAAGATCTCTTCAGGGAACTAGTCCCTTCAGATGCAAGAGAGGTGGAAGTGCTGAGAAGATGGTCAATGGCAGAAAGAGCCGATGATGGATGGGGACCAGCCGGTTGTTAATGGTACATGACTACATTTATAAAGGTGTTTGACATTTTGGATCTTCTCATACCCTTGCTTTGTTTTTGTTTTAGTAGAACAGTATTTCAACAGCTAATAGAAGAGATGATTCAGGTAGATGTAATGTTGAACTGCCCTATGTTACTCAGGTTAATAGTACAATGCAAACATTTTGTTTCAAGCATGATGCTAATTTAAAATGCTATTTGAAAAACTATATAAGCACTATTCTGTTCTCCATGCCTTGGTTTGAGTGCATGTGTCTGTAGACAACTGCCAAATATGCTTATTTAGTGTGAATACTTCCTTTTTATAAATTCAGAGAGTTGCACTCTGGAGGGCTGTAACAAACCTTTAAATTCATTTTACTGTGACAAAGGTTGGAGTAAGTAGCAGGCTGGGGCAAAGACAAGTGCAGCTATCTCTTTGATCACATTGCTTTAAACATTTTTCAGCTTTAAGCGTGTCTTACAAATCAGCTCTATCAGTCTATTAATTGTTTCACTGTACCTGATGTCTAACATGAATGCACCTTGAAAAACGGCAGGAGAAAGCACATTTGTTTAAGCCCTCCGATGGCTAACACGGCAGCTAATCTCCTTGCAAATTATAGTCATAGTTGCAGTTCGTCTATTAGGCTGGAAAAGACAAGATTCTCGAGTGGCCTTGGTGCCTTTACCAATTTCCCCGAGACCCACAAGCCCTCCGCGTGTGTTGTCTGCGCTCCGGGAGCGTTCCTGCTAATCAGGTCAATGATTATCGCCTGGCTCCGGGGACACGACAGGAGTCTATCACAGCAGTTAGGAAGCCTCCAAACGGAGCACGCTCACAGAGGAATCTCCCGTTAAGAAACATCGCTTAGTCCCTCATTTACTCACTGGGAACCTCTGAGGATTTCAGCTGATCTTTTTCTCTCCTTAGACAGTGAGGAGCGCAACCTAAACAGGGAAAAGGAGCACAGCATGCAGCTACTTGGAGGGTGTTGATTGAAAACTTCGATCTCCCCACCCCGTTCACGGTTGACTTGACTGATTTCTCACATCCTTCACAAGAGAATATTTCAATTAAGGTAAGTGCTGCTTTATCTGGGTGACTGCATCACACTGAATTTCTGCATTGAAAGTTCTGACTGACTAAACTGACATTCTGCACTGCAGCAAGTGACTGTTTATGTCAGGAAAATCTTAGTTTTATAAGCAAGTGTCCTAGAGTGTAAATGGCATTTGGGGATAATGACATTTCAGGGCAATTTCTTTTGAAATATAATCATTCTGCCTTGCATCCACAGAAAATAAAAGGGAGAATGAAAAGAGAGGTAATTTCTCAATTTACCTTTTTAATAATCTATTTAGAGGACTGTGCAGTGCCAAGATAAATTGATTTTGATTGAAGTGGTTTGTTGTCAAATGGCAAAATCTCTGAGTCTGAAGGCTTCAAAGTTAAATTAGTTGGAAAGAAAATCCTTGCAAATGAGAGTTGAGATTTTGTGCAGCTTTGTAATTTAGCAACATTCCTGAGCTCCCTTTTAGTTTAAGGATTTAGGACTAAATCTCTGAATATTTTAAGAGTGTCCATTTAAAACTTAAGATTTAAATGTTACAATTTCTGATGCAAATAAGAAAAATGTACCTAGAAGATTTAATGTACCATTGATATTATTTATAGTTCTTATTCAAGAGAGATGAATTTCTTTTATGAGATAGATTAATGCAAAAGAAAGTAAAAACTTAACTGCTTTATAAAATGCTTGTTTTTGAAAGGAGATTGATTTAATAATACATTAAGGTTATGTATGTGTTTGTTGAAATCTTGTTTTTTTATGTTTAAGGTCTTTTTTATTATCAAAGTCTAGTGAATTGAGGTTAAGCTTACATTTCACATATACTTTAGGGCAACTTTCCAGGTAATTTAGATAAACCAATTCATATTATTTCTTTTATACCCATGTAGCTCTTAAGTTTATTAAAAATATCTAGAAGAATAATAGAAGCAACTTTTTTCCAAAGTTAGATTTAATTACCTGAACTTTTTCTTTTTTATTCACTTTGCACATGTAATATAGTCTGATGGTTTTATTCCATACTATGGTAAATTTATATGTGATCAAGAATAATAAAATAATTCTATCACTATAAGTATATATCATCTGTTAATTAACACTCGAAGTACCTACACAATAGCAATTATTTAGTTGTGATTGTATAGAACTTATACTATAAAAGGGTTTTCAAATAACAAACATTGTTTAGAATATACATACATTTTTATAATACTTATGCAAGTTAAATTTCAATAATTAATCTGCAATTTTATAGCACAATGAAAATATATAGCTGCTTCTGTGTAAAGATTTATAGTATTGCCTTGAGTGTGCTTTTTAGAGTGAGCACTCATATTTCCTGAAATGCTGACTCCACCTTCCTTCTATGGGTATCTTGAGATGGGACATTTCATAAAGATGTCAGAACACTGATTATATTAATTGGCTATGCTTCTGAAATTCTCTGGAGAGCTTTTAAGGCTGATGTTGATGTTATTGCCTTTTACACAGGAATAAAATATTTTCAGGATTCCCCCCCCCAGGCAGTGATGGGTACTTGCTGATTGTTGATATATTTTTAATCGAAGTCTAAAGACATTTACCTACCTCTGTTGTACTGAGATTTCTATCTTTTTTTTTTTTCCCCTGGGGAGATGGTTTCTCAACTGATTGAAAGATAACTGGGAGAAGAGTGTGTTGACTACAATGACTGTCCCTGGGTCTTTGGCTTCTTTTTTTCTGTTAGGCAAACTTGATAAACAGAAAGAGGCAAAAATAACCAAACAGGGACACATTTGCTACTAACAAACTTGTATTAATACATTGTTGAAAACATCCCTATATTGTAGACTATCCCTTGTGCCAACTTCAAGATTAATGGTGGCATCAAACCCAATGAACTTTTATTGAATATATTGACCATTGCAGTATATGACCGTTAAAGGATGTGTTTAGTGTGTAATGAAATATTTATGTTTAATAATTAAGTCAGTTGCAGTTCTTATTGAAAAGGACATAGCAAAAGTGTTTAAAGGAGTTCTAGCATTACTATAGTTGTAGTTGTCTTAATTTGCATTATACATACTGATAAGAGAATGGAGAATGTCTTGGATACAATTGAGAATTCGTACTGTTTATTTTAGGTAGCATCTGCCTTCTTAATATGACTTAATATCCTTTCTATTTTTTTCACATATTAAATTACCTTCAGGTGCCACCACACCTCTAGTTTCTATATTAAATCCCATTTTCATTAATTTGATGGTAATTTATTCCTTCTGTAAGATCATAAAACTTCTTATAGGATAACCTTGTAATTTTAGCGTAAAAAGTTTCAAAATGTAAAGTCAAAAATTTGCTAAAATATCATAAACTTTACTTCAAGATCTATAATCTGTTCTTCAATATGTGATATGTTCAATACAAGACAATGGATAGAGGCAATATTTAACATACCTGTCATGCTTCCTAAATGCCAGGCAACTAACTAGGTTATAAACATTGTATGTATGATTATATAATACAGTGAAAATAATTGCACAGGTATCTTTTTAACCCCACTTTCCTGAGAATGAGATGGAGACTGATAGAGGATACATATTAAGGCCACACCATAGTTAGTGAACCTTTGATTCAAACTCAGATCTTGCTGTGTTTAAAACTAATACTATTATACTATAGTACTTTGTTTTTCATAGATGGTGACTATTGCAATGTTTGACATGATACTGATGAATATTTTAAGAATATTTTTAATGTAGTACAGAGTAAGTATATTACCTTCAGAATGGGTTAACTCCTGGCTTACACAAAATAAATGATTTTGTAAATTCCATAGCCACCAGTATTTGAAACCAGGAAGCAGTTTGTTCTTGTAGGTTCTGATAAAGTTTAGTGCATAAGTCTTTGTTCCAGCTGATTCTGATTATTACTGACACACAAAGCATAATAACTACTGAAATTTAGTATTTGTAATATGTACATCATTCCAAGAGAAGTTGACACATTCTCAGGATAAAATAAAGTAAAATGTTGAGATATAAATTTAATGCCACTGCCACTTGAAATGAAATTAAAAAGAAAGTTAAGGGGAACTCATGTTAATGGTGAAAGACACACACAGTATTAGAAAAGATAGAGAAACTGGCAGTTGGAATTGAATGTTGAAAGTGAACTTAATAAAACAGATTTAAATGTACTGAAGTCTATTTGCTCTACTGACTTTATATAAACTTTTCCCTAAGTATATAGATATTTGCTGTAAGTAATTATGTTAATATTGTGACAATATTTTCCAACTAAAATTTGCTCTAATCTTATGACAAGAAGATTGCATTGACCTGGAAAATTTAATATGATTATCTGTCATATTCAAGGATGTGCTAAGATGATAACTGGAAGTTAGGTTTCATGGTTATAAATTATGATCACTCCTTGTTCTCTAACATGTTCACAAATATACAAAAAGATAATATTGTACAAGATACTGTGAATAACATGTTATACTATGATAAGAAACATGATGAAGAAATACATATGTATGCAATTTCCAACTACCAACCAGCATACTTTTTGTTTCTTAGCTGTTGTCAAATTGTTGGCTTATCCTAAGCATGTATGATAATAACAAAGTATATATACACACTCCCTTCTTATTATTTCAAAGGAATGAAAATAGTCTGTAAAGACAAATATTGCAGAAGACCTTATAATGGTGCCAGTGCATAGATGGTGCTACCAAGAAAATATGACCATGTGTCTAAGCAACACTGGCCGCAGTAGATTTAACCAGAGATGAATGTGCCCAGGTCTAAGATAGCCATCCCTAGATTGGCCAATGGCCACCACATGGCCTTATAGGAGAAACATGCCAATAAAGAATGCTCTGTATTAGATAACAAATATCTGACTTGGTGACCTTGAATATGAAATACCATGTAGATCACCAGTAGTTGGTTAACATAAGCAGAAGTTGAGAAACATAGAGATGGTAGTCTGTGGATATCATGAATAAACTGCAGTCATGAGGTTGATGGGAAGGAAAGAAAAGAGGTTGATTTCCTTAATTCAATGAAAAGAGACAAATTTTCTAACTCACCTTAAGCACAAGATGAACGGAGGTGCTCCCTTGTGAAGGGGCAATGAGGGTCTATTGCATATACACCATGCAAAGGTAAGACTTTTCCCCCTTTTCCACATTTTTCTCTGTGGTTTCAGTCCCATTAACCAATTCAAATTGAGCACAACTATTTTCCTTACAAATGAAAAGATTATAATTGATTCAACATCTTATGTATTCACAGTTCTGGTAGGCAGTGGAAGAGGCAGTAATGTGTAGTGATTACAAGTCACGTTCAGAGTTCAACTGCCTGGATTCAAATGCAATGGAGGGTACTTGCTAGCTCTGTGGCCCTGGACAAGTCAGTTAAGGTGTCTAAACTTTGTTTTTATGTTCTTCAAAATGAAACTAATCATAGTATCTATCCCATAGCAGTGTTGTGAGAAATGGAGATAATTGATTTAAAATACTTAAAATTGTACAAGTGCTAATAAATATTACAAACAGGAAACTTTATTATTAGTCCCTCACCTGACTTATCAAGTAGAGAAAATTAGAGACTTTTTTTTTTTCTTTAGCAACAATGAATGGTTGAATATTGCCAGAAGCTCCTGGAACCATTTCCTGCCACTGTGTTTAATATATCAGCACATTTGAATTTGAGGAACATGCTTTTTTTGTTGTTTTATTGGATTTACACAGAAGAGTAAATGTGTCTTGAAAGAATTTAACTTAGGAGTCGGTTTAGAGTAACCTTCCTATTTTTGAGGGAGGACTAAAGTACCAGTTGAATCCTTTACTTTAATTCTTTCCTAAAAATGTTGAAAGGAATTGAACAAGTCTTGAAAACTTAGTTCCGTTTGATCACTGGTAGTCTACAATCTAACTTGTTTTTACTGGGGTGAGAAAAATAGCCCACAATTTGTTTTTGTAAATAGAGTTTTATTGGAACACAGCACTTTTAAGGATT